GAGGTGCCCATGCCCAGCCTGATTGCTGAGAGTAACGGTCAGCGTCCTGGGCCATCCACAAAAGGCAAAGAGGTGACGGCAGTGAGCCCCAAGGAAGGCCAGGACCAGCTGTCAGTCCAGGAGCGCGCTGCAGGACAGGGCCAGCCAAGTGCCACGTGTGCACAAGAGGAAGCAACACATGGCAGAGAGGGCCCTGGCGCAGGCCTGTTTCCGGGAAGAGGACAGGAGAGCGCCCTGCACCTTGTCACTGCAGACAAGGAGGAAGCGTTCCTGAACTCTGCCCAGAGTGAAGGGAACAGCCTGGAGGCAGAGTGGGCAGAGGGCAGCAGCACAGCATGTGGTTCAGCAGGGAGGGGCTTGGAGAGGAGCGCAGGCTGCCCTGTCCCTCTGAGAGGGCCAGGACAGGTGGCAGAGGAGCCCTCTTTCAGTATTTGCCCTTTGGCCGCAGCAAATACCGGTGCTAAAACTGGCGACAGGCCACCTGTCCAAGACACTGCAGCGGCACATTCCTCTGTCCCTCCTCACCAGCTGGGGCCTGAAGACAACCTAAAAACCACAGCCCCCAAGTGTGTTCCTGGCCAAGAATCAAAAACTGTTCCTTCCCACACAGAGGTCCTTCCAGCTGCCCCCCACGTAGCTCTGTGGGCTCCTAGGTGTGAGCAGCACTTGAGTACAAAGAGTGACCTTGGTGGCACACGGACTGAGAAAGCAGGAGACAGCAACAGCATGAGATCTTCCCAGGAGGGAGGAGACTTCTCAGGCCCTGTTTCTTCTGAAGAAGACGTGTGTGACATAGGTGAGAATCTGTACCTGATTGCAAATGTTAGCATTTTACAAAGATGGTTATAACAGAGTGTTTTTAGGACAGGCCTCTAAAAAATTGCTTTAGTTCCCAAAACTTTGCTGTGTTACTTGCTTTTCTGAAGCAAGTAAAGTGAATCTATTCATAAATCACCTTCTTCATTGGGACGGTATCTCAGTGACACACAATTTATTCCTGTAAGGACAAACTTAATGAAGGCCACTGCAGATACATACTTGTAAATAAGATAGGTCCTCCAGTCGTGCTTCATTGTTCTTTCTGGGCAGCCGTCGCACTGTCCAAGCAAGAAACACTTTCACTCCCTCGAAATAAGTAGACGGCCCTGCCTTCCAACTAGGTCCTTCTCACACAACAGAATCCTTTTGATTGTTTTCTACTGACAAGTAAGTAAACCAGCAAAGGACAGGGCCATGGTGTACAGATAACCACATTCCATTGCTTTTTGATTGTGAATATATTGTGTAAGCAAATTTCTAAAATGTGCTAATGTTTTGAATTTTATTAGGCAATGAAAAGTCTCCATCAAAAACTTTTGGAAGAATGGAAGCGAAAGCCAACTTGAAAACTGAGGTAGGGCTTACGATTCAGCTGTGTGCACCTGTGTGTATGTCCGTGGGACACAGGTCCTATTCTCCGTGTGCTTGGAATGCTCAGTGTTGTTAACTGCCATACCTTGTGAGGGATGGGGGCTGACAGCTCCAGGAATCCTAGGACACAGTGCCTTCATCACTGCCATTTTCTGCCTGCCACCTCACATTTAATCCATTGCCAGTTCTTACAGGTTTTATTTCTAAAATGCAACAGGAATTCATCTATTTCAGCTTCTACAGCCACCACTAGCCTGAGCCGCTGCTCAGCAGCCCCCATGTCAGAGCTCCTTCCTTGCAACATCCTCTGGTCTGCGGCTCGCACCGCCGGGCATGCGGTTTAGGGCCTCTCATTGCTCTGCTAAAATTTCCGGTGGCTTCCCATCACACTGAGAATAGAATCTACATTTTCTTTTTTTATCACGGCTTGTGTGCCTTACACAATCTACTGCCCCTTCTTCCACCTGATCTCTCAGCCCACTCTGAGGACCCAGGAGGAGGCAGCAGTGAACCTGGGCTTGTGAACTGCGCAGGCAAGCATACGGCGCCCAGCAGGGCCGCAGGCCGGGGCTCGCCCAGGGAACACTGGAGTGGGATTCTGAAAGTTGAGCAGAAGTTTACTGGGAAAGGAAGGGGAAAAAAAGCCTTTCAGGCAAAGAGGGTATTAAGTTCTAGACCCCAAGTAGACAGGGCTCATGGTGTCCCCAGGCACCGCAAAGGTGCACAGTGGTGTAGCGAGACCACAGCCTACGAGGGAAGGGGCCCATCAGGGAGGACCTGTGCATCGTGCTGGGCCAGGGTTGTGCTGTTAAAGCCGGGGGAGAGCTATTGATGGATAAAACATAAGATTACATTCACTTTTTGCTTGTTTTGTTTTGTTTTTAAAGGTGAATATATTCATTTTTAAGTTGTGTATGGATTTAAAAGTAGATTTTTATGCTATTTTAAGACACTGGGGTTTTTCAGTTAGTTCATTGAGGTTAGTCTTGCCGTCTTGTGAAACACTCAGTTCGCTTACTTTTGTGGTGCTTTGGATTTTTTAGACATATGTGCCTTCAGAGAAAGAGAGAAATCATGGCGTTGTAGCATCACCAGAAAGCCGGCAAGGGGGGAAGCCGAGTGGAGCAGGTGAGCTCCTCCCGCGGCCGTTCCTCACACGTGTCTGTCTCCATCTCTCACTGCACCTAAAACCAATAGCTGATGCGTAATGATACACTGACAGGCTGTGTGAATGTGCCTCTCACTTTTTAAAACAGATTAGAGGTAATTCTTTACTATTTCATTTCTAACATCCTTTTTCTCATTAAATTGAATCGACTTTGTGTAGAGTAATTGTTTAAATCTGGTATCTCCAAATAATAGTGGCAAAAAGAAAGTTGTTTGAGCTTTTGTTAAAGAATCAAAGAGCTTTTGTTAGAGGATCGTACCTGTTGGCATTTACCAAATAAGAAACAAAAACTAAGAGAGCCGTGAAACAAATATTCATTCAATATAAGTAAATCACTACAAGTTAGCATAAATAAAATTTTTTTTTTGAGACAGAGTCTTACTATGTTGCCCTGTAGAGTGCTGTGGCATCACTACTCACAGCAACCTCAAACTCTTGGGCTTAAGCGATTCTTTTGCTTCAGCCTTCCAAGTAGCTGGGACTACAGGTGCCCACTGCAATGCCTGGCTATTTTTTGATTGTAGTTGAGGTTTGGCAGGCCCAGGCTGGATTCAAACCCACCAGCTCCAGTGTATGTGGCTGGCGCCCTAGCTATTGAGCTACAGGCGCCATGCCCATAAATAAATTTTTTTCATGAAAAGTAACTAGATTTTCTAAAACAACAAAATGTAGTGAGAAGAGTGACATTGTTTTACATTTTTGCAAATCTAAGTCTGACTTAATAGACAACAGCTGATTTCTATTTCCATATTCAGGCTGTTACTGTGTGTGGTTTTGGTTGAAGTAGATGAAGTAAATCCATTATGGATATACAGTTGGGTTTTAGTAGCCTTTTCAGATGGTGGTGGATATGTCACGTAGCCTCTAAAAAGCTCATTGCACTTATGAGTCTATGAGGCAAATAACATCTTGGTATTAATATGGCAGTAGTTTGGCCTTTGTGGATTCTTTGTTGGGAGGCTTCAGGAATTCCCAGCTGGCACCTGGACCATACTTTTGGGTTAAGGAAATGGAAATGAGAAGAATTGTGATGATGGAGAATTATTTCTAGTTTGTACTTTTTCCTTCTGATTTGTTCATTTTAAAAAGGTACTAGGTGCTATTGATTATGGGGCCAAATTTAAGCCAGTTCTTTTTTTTTAACCAATGTTGACATGTTTACACAAGTCATGATTCTGGGTGATTTTGGTTGAATACTTGTGAGAGAAAACCCTGCCAGTACTTACTTAAAGAGACTGTATTCGCTCACAAACCTGAAACAGTCAGGAGTATGGTCCTCGTCCCAAAGGTACGTCCAATAGAACCCCAATTTCTTTTCTTCTCCCTCATCCCCTCCCAGAGTTCATTGCTTTCTCATCCTTGGCCTCTGGAAAAATGGCTTTATCCCTATTATTTCTGGTGAATACCCTGAGATACTCTCATTTAGCTTAGGTATGTGTGACCACCCTAAACTAATGACTGTGACCAAGGGGAAGATAGCTTCCAAGTTGACTTAAATCAATTGCTCTGTTCCTGGGCCCATATGGTCTTTCAGACCACAGTCTAGATCAGGGGTCCTCAAACTCTTTAAACAAGGGGCCAGTTCACTGTCCCTCAGACCATTGGAGGGCCGGACTGCGGGCCCCAGGATGAGTTGGCTGCTAAGCAGGATGGGCAGTGGCGGCAAAAACACCCAGCAGGCCAGATAAATGTCCTAGCCTATGGGCCGTAGTTTGAGGACACCTGGTCTAGATTCCTGGGGAAAGTGCCGGAAGGGTGGCCATATGTCTGCTGTAGCCAGCTCATTTTTAAAATTACTCCCTTAACAAGCATCATGAAGCCAGGTATTTGTGAGTACTGGGGAAATCAAGATGGAAATGACTAATGGAAACAAATCATTCATTCACAGAGATGGATGTGCAAGTGAGGGAGGTGCTTTAATCAAGATAGATACGCACTTGTCTATGGGAGTTAGTGTCTATCTCTATCTCTCCTTCTCTCCCTCCCTTTTAATTATAGAACGTAAGATAAATAAAAGTACATGAGAAAGTTTCCCATTCACCATGAGGAAACACCTGCAAGACAACTGTATATTTTAAACAAATCCTATTTAAATTGTTCTGTAATTCCTTTTTTCCCTTGGCCGTATACTGTGGGCATCCTTCATTTCTGTGTCAGCATGTACAGACCCCTTCCCTGTTCTAATAGCTGATAGTTACCCACAAAGCCACTGTCAGATCTTCTAGTGGTTGCCAGACTTTGACTGTTCTAAATAGAGTAACAAAGAACTTGTGTCTCTGCACCACTGAAGGTGTGTCCCTAGGTGTTTCCATAGAACAGAATTGGGGGGAGTCAGAGGCGAGACAGTTTCAGTGGCCCTTACCCAAAATGCTCGAGACCAGGACTGTCTCAAATTGTGGATTCTTTTCAGATTTTAGAATATTAGCATTAAACCTTGCTGAGGATCCCAAATACAAAACTTCAGAATCCAAAAATGTTCGATGACCTTTTCCTTTGTGTCTGGTTGGCACTCACATGTTTTCAGATTTTGGGTTTTTGGATTTGGGATACTCGACCTGTATAAGTTTTGCATTTTCGTATTTGTCACTATCTTTATTTGGATCTCAATGTTGAAGGACAAGTAGGGTTTACATTAGGTGGGAAAGGCAAAGAGAGGGCAGTGGGGGTGGACCTGATCAAGTTTGGGTAAGAACTCGTGTAAATCCTCACCTAGAATAGCTGGGGGTGCAAGGGCTGGGTCAGTTGACAATCTTCTTAGACAGAATCTTCTGAAAGGGCCTCAACTGTCTTGTAAGTAAAAGAATCAGCCAGTCCTGGAAGGCCTCGCCAAGACTTGGTAAGTTATTCTTGCCGACATGTTAAAACCGTGACAATAACTAATCTACACAAAACTTGGGCAGATCCATTAGCTAATATGTGTACGGGTGTTTTATAGTACAAGTAATTAACATCCCATTTGTTAATTGTCAAGAAGGTAAGGTGCTGGGGTTGCAAGTCCTTTGTTCCCACAGTTATATTTCAGATTGCTTTACCGTGTTTAAGTCCAGCTCCGTAAGAGATGTACTTATGTAAAAGGAAGTTGTTTAAAAGAAAAATGTGTGTTCTGTCATTGTTGAGTAGAAACAGTAGACCTTGTACTTCAAGTTTCCAAAGAAAATAAACAGACCCTGCTGTCTGGGGGGGGCAGGCTCTGGCTGTTCACTTGATGGCATTATTTTAAGTGACCGGCGTTATGCTGTAGCTTAACAGTTCCAGAAAGGCCTTCCACCTTTTCTCTCAGTTTCAGAGCACCAAAACAGTTAAAATACTCTTTTTTTGTAGTAGTGATTTAGTGTGCCACTGATGTTACTTATAAAAATGAAGGCAACATTGATGTCAATTGTTATTTGATAGTTATTTTCTGGTGGTAGAACATGGATTACAGAAAATAATAGGTCAGAATTGTAAAGTTCACGAAGGTAATTAGGCATTAGCATGGGACGGTCGTGTTTAATTGTCCTGAAGATCTTTACATTTGTTTCTCTAAAGTTCAGAAACGATCTTCAGTTTCTGTCTCCATTTTGTTTTTGAACAGCTGAGCGACAGAGGGAGACTTTGTTGGTGAATGAATCACTAAATGTAAGTCACTGAAGGGTTTCGGTTTTTTGTTTTGGGGCTTCTGTTTTATTTTGGATTTTGGAGAATGGTTGGAAAGGAGACTTTGTCTCCTTTGTTTGTACATTTC